TGACAGCGATCATTTCCTAATCATTCTTACTTCCCCTTCATATTCACCACCTCTTCGTAACCCACGCTGGCAGTTTGATCAGGCAAATTGGAACCTTTACTCACAACTAACTGTTTTTAGCGAGGTTCCTTCTTTGTCCTCCATTGATGAGCTTTTACACCTCTTCTCGTCCTCCGTTTTAACCGCAGCTTCTTATTCTATACCCCAAACTTCGGGCAGGCATTCTCAGAAATGCGTGCCTTGGTGGTCTCCTGCTTGTGCTCATGCAGTACGTTTGAAACGCGCTGCGTGGGGAAGGTACCTGTACAATAGAACCATGGAGAGACTTCTTGATTTTAAGCAGAAGCGTGCGATCACTCGCTGTGTCATCCGTGATGCTAAATGCACTTGCTGGCGAAATTGTCTCCACCATCACCTCTGCTTCCTCTTTGAGTGCAGTCTGGAAAAAAAGTACGAAAACTGAGTGGTAAATATTCTCCTGACCCAGCTCCTGTTCTGCGGGTTGCCGGTGTTGATATAGCAAACCCACTAAATGCTGCCAATGAAATTGGAAGTCATCTGGTCTTTTTTCTCAGGGGCTCCATCTATGCCCCTCGTTTCTTTCCTCAAAATCTGCCAGAGAGTTAGCACCCTTGGACTTTTCTTCTCTCAGAGAAGAACAGTATAATGTGCCTTTTACACTTCAGGAAACTGGAGGCAACACACTCAGCTTGCCGATCATTGGCAGCTGGGCCCGACGACATTCATATTTGTATGCTACAACATTTACATCAGTCAGCCCTTGCAGTCCTATTATGCCTTTTCAATCTTATTTGGTCACAAGGAGTTCTTCCACAGCTGTGGAAATTGCCATTGTTTCCCTTTCCGCAAACCGGGTACTATGGGACATGAAGCCTCCTACTATCATCCCATTGCTCTTACCAGTGCAGTTTGCAAAGTGATGGAACGCCTGGTAAATAGATGTTTAGTGTGGTATTTAGAGATGCACAACAGTTCTCTCCACTCGTCAATATGGCTTTCGTAAGGGCCGTTCTACCATAGACCCCTTACTACGCTTGGATACGTATGTTCGTAATGCCTTTGCGAATAACCACTCAGTTATTGCCATTTTTTTGACCTTGAGAAGGCATATGACACAACTTGGAGGTATAATATTTTGGCCCAAGGCCACTCCTTAGGCCTTCGAGGCAATCTACCATCCTTCCTTAAGAACTTTTTAGCTGACGGACATTTCCGTGTTCGGGTTAATGATGTGCTCTCCCTGGACTTTATCCAAGCTGAAGGTGTCCCCCAGGGATGTGTTCTGAGCACAACACTTTTTCTCCTTGCTATAAATGATTTGGCCTCTAGTCTTCCATCCAATATTTGGTCATCACTCTGTGCTGATGACTTCGCTATTGCCTGTGCAGGTGCTGACTGTCACTTCATTACAGTTTCTCTCCAGCATGCGGTCGACCGTGTTTCCAATTGGCCCACCACACATGGGTTTAAATTTTCCAGTACCAAAACTCACCAAATTACTTTCACTAGCCGCTCTGTCATCTCCGTTTCATCCTTTATACCTCTACGGAAACCCGTATCCTGAACGTGATAGTCAGGTTTCTAGGCCTCCTCTTTGACTGTAGGTTATCCTGGAAACCTCATATTACCTCTCTGAAGACAACTTGTCACAGCCGGCTGAACCTTCTTAAAACCCTTGCTCATCTTTCATGGGGAGCTGATCGTTGAACTCTCCTTCGCCTACATTCCACCCTCATTTTATCGAAACTTGACTATGGTGACCAAATCTATTCAGCTGCCTCTCCTGCTACTCTATCTAGCCTCAACCCTATTCATTACCAAGGATATTATTTATGCCTTGGTGCTTTTCGCTCTTCCCCTGTTGAGAGCCTCTATGCAGAAGCGAACGTTCCATCCTTATCCGATCACCGTGATGCCCATTGCCTTCGCTACTATGTACGCTCTCATGATCCCCGCAGTCCTTCCATTTATAGAATGGTCACCGATATTAGTAGACATTCTTTATTTGTTCACCGCCCCTGTTTACTCCGTCCCTTCTCTCTTCGCCTACATTCGCTCTTGTCTTCTCTTCAGTTTTCACCTTTCTATGTTCATGTAGCATCTCACTTTTCCCTAAACCCCATGGGAAGTTCCAGCTGTTCGAGTCTGTTCTTTCTCACTCTCTTGTTCGAAAGCCCAACTGTCTACGGTAGCTTCCCTCTCTCTTTTTCTTGACCACTTCCACACTCATTCTCATGCCATTGCAGTGTACACAGATGGCTCGAAGTCTTCTGATGGCATAGGATTCGCAGCAGTGTTTCTGGACAGCGTCGTAAGAGGGCATTTACTATCTTCGGCTAGTATCTTTACTGCTGAATTGTATGCCATTCTTGCAGCACTTATCCATATTGCATCTATGCCTGTGTCATCATTTGTGGTTGTCTCAGACTCCCTTAGTGCTTTACAGGCTATACAGAAATTTGATACACCTCACCCCTTAGTCCTCCGTATCCAACTTTGGCTACGCCGCATCTCTCCCAAGCATAAAGATATTGTTTTTTGTTGGGGTCCCTGGTCATGTTGACATACAGGGCAATGAACAGGCAGACACTGCTGTGCGGTCAGCAGTATATGACCTACCAGTTTCATATAGAGGTGTTCCATTTACGGACTATTTTACTGCAATAGCTACCCCTTCACACCCATTGGCAACAATGTTGGTCTACTCTACTCGGTAACAAATTTCAATCTATTAAACCACATTCTGTTAGATGCCCACTTTATCAACGAGCACACAGAATTTACCTCCAACGTCGTCTTCGCTCCGCTGCTCTCTCTTTGCCTTCCCTTCTCGCTGATGGACCCACCTTTCATCCGGACTCTCTCATTGACTTTTTGACAACAAACTGACTTACTTCACAAACTCTGATGATACCTTCAGCCCTTTCTACCTCGATCTCTTGCTACCCTCTACCCTGCACTATCCCCTGCCCCGCTGTTTTCTGTAACCTACTGATCGCCCCTCCCCCCCTCTGCCGCCCAATACCCTCACTTCCTTTCCTACCCTGCAGCGCTGTATAGCCCTTGTGGCTTAGCACTTCTTTTTTATTATAATAATAATTCGGCCGTACTAGTATAGCTTACGCACCAGGGTTTTTGATGTACTAGAACTTCTAAAATTCTAGCGCCCTCAAATCTAGTGAGAGAAAGCTGGTAGGCCTACATATGAAAGAATGGGTCTATGTGGTCAGTGTGCACACTATAAAAAAAATCCTGCAGCACACAGTGCGTAATGAGGAAAAAAAAATTGACCATATTTTTTATTAAAACAGCGACTTTGCACTGTATTTTCGTATGGTATTTATTGTTGTATTCTAGTTTTCCTGGTCTCGTTTTATAGAATGGAAGACATATTACAGAAATTGAGATGATTTTGACTGGTTTTACAATGAAAAGTACGTTGAAATTGAGCTCAAAGTAGCAGAAATGTTCGATTTTTACCAAAGTTCAAAAGTAAACAAATCATGCTAAGCATCCAATACACGTCAACTGGTGAGTCTAATATTCTTTCACAAGTGTGCCGATATTATTTATACCATTTCTACACTAATGCAGTGGTCTGCATAACAGTAAATCTTCTATTTTGTGTGAGAATAAAAATTCAAAGTGGAAAGCAAAAGAATGTAAGAGGGGCATGGGGACGTGACTAATGAACAGAAGAAATGTTATTTTAGTGCCAGGAATGTCTTTCTTGTTTATTCTGGACCCTATTTGGAAATTGGCATCTTTTGAAATTTGTGTGAAATTAGCAAAATTGCTAAATTCTGACCACTGTATTGGATAGTTAAAATCGGTAAATGGGTGGTTTCTTGTACTCATTCGATAGAAAAAGTGGAGTTCTAGCGAAATAGTTATGATTTTCGTCGACTAATACACTGGAATTGGCCAAAAATAGGGCTTAAAGTGGGCAAAATCGCCGATGCGTAAACATCATCAGGACCGCTAACCTCGTGAGAGCATAATTCTGTAAGTTTTCCATCAAATTTCATACTTTTGGTGTCATTATGATCAGGAAAAGATTCTCTATATTTTCATAAGATTTTTTTTTTTTTTTTTTTTTTTTTTTTTTTTTTTTTTTTTTTTTTTTTTTTTTTTTTTTTTTTTTTTTTTTTTTTTTTTTTATAGAAAATTTGGCGACCCTGAGAACAAATCTCGGAGAGGGCCTGTCGACCCTGAAAGGGTTAAAAATATATCAGAAATATTATTAATGGTGCAAAGGTGACATTAAAACAATATCAAAGATGGTTGACACAAACCCACTACCATTATAGTGTGCTCCTCACTTAGCGACGAATTCGTTTACTTATGTAGTCTTAGGAATGGAACTCTGTCATTAAGTGAGGAGAGGCTGTAATAACTTTGTGTTTATTCATGTTTTTCTTGCTGTTAAGTCTTTCTAATTAAATCTAATGATCCTATTAAGGCTCTAAATTTAGTTGGGATTTAATAGGAACAAGAAATGCATATACACAGTTATTATTGTAGTTACTTGTAGATAATACATCCATCTTTATCTTCAGTAAAATAGTTTTTGATGTTCGATGTCACCCCAGTGGTCATATAGTGACCTCTAAACTAGGTCATCAAGGCCTACAGAAATAAAACTTGTATCACTGGAATCCTTGTTCTCTGCTGATTACAAATATGTAATTGTGAATAAGTATTCCAAGTACATATATATGTGTGAATAAGTATATGATGATTATTTCTTAATCTACGATGTTCCATTTTTTCGGTGTCCTCAAAATGACGCAAGTCAAAATGACCCAGCTAAGTCTTACAGACATAAGTTCAGAGCCTAGGATAACCTTGAATACCAAATGTTTATATACATATTTTTTTTTTTTTTTTGGCATAGCTGCAGACTTGGCAACACCTCTAAACTTGGACAAGTGAAGCCAAGAGGGGAACTAAAAAGTTTTTTTTTTTTTTTTTACAGGATTGCTCGAGTGTATTGGTATCATTGTCTGAGGACATAAGAACGTAAGAAAGAAGGAACACTGCAGCAGGCCTACTGGCCCATGCAAGGCTTACGATTCAGAAAACAGATCATATTGGTGTCAAGGGGCAGAGAAGTGGGGATTTGTGTTTGAATTCCCCCCACAAAAGGAAGAGAGGACAGACCTATTAGTTTCCATATAGTACATACATAGTACCTACATTGTGCATCTTGTGGAAGAGTCAAAAATGGATAGCAAGGACAAAGACCATATTCTTAGTCTGAAAGGTATGGTTTTTTCTTAATTATTGGAGTTACAGACTGGTATTGTGTGTAATGTGTTAGTTATGTATGAATGTATGTATATATTTTTTGTGCTATAAAGTGGCCATTGCTATTACCTACCATTAGTCATTTTTGTAACCAAGAGACTATTAGTATTACAACACTTTAGAAAATACAGTATATTTCATTCAGAGCAGCTGTCAGTTAAATACAGTAGTTATTTATGGACATTTTCATAAAGCTATACAAAAATTAAGGCAAATTTGGGTCTGAAATCATTATAACTACAGCTTGATTATATGGCAGCAAAATTTATTAAAAAACCATACATGTTTATGGTAACCACATCCTATTACTTATACATAAAAGGGAAAAGGGTGAGTGGTGCACTTAGGAGTCTGTGGAGACAAAGAACTTTGTCCTTGGAGGCAAAGAGAGGAATGTATGAGAGTATAGTTTTACCAATGCTCTTATATGGGTGTGAAGCATGGGTGATGAATGTTGCAGCGAGGAGAAGGCTGGAGGCAGTGGAGATGTCATGTCTGAGGGCAATGTGTGGTGTGAATATAATGCAGAGAAATCGTAGTTTGGAAGTTAGGAGGAGGTGCGGGATTACCAAAACTGTTGTCCAGAGGGCTGAGGAAGGGTTGTTGAGGTGGTTCGGACATGTAGAGAGAATGGAGTGAAACAGAATGACTTCAAGAGTGTATCAGTCTGTAGTGGAAGGAAGGCGGGGTAGGGGTCGGCCTAGGAAAGGTTGGAGGGAGAGGGTAAAGGAGGTTTTGTGTGCGAGGGGCTTGGACTTCTTGCAGGCATGCGTGAGCATGTTTGATAGGAGTGAATGGAGACAAATGGTTATTAATACTTGACGTGCTGTTGGAGTGTGAGCAAAGTAACATTTATGAAGGGGTTCAGGGAAACCGGCAGGCCGGACTTGAGTCCTGGAGATGGGAAGTACAGTGCCTGCACTCTGAAGGAGGGGTGTTAATGTTGCAGTTTAAAAACTGTAGTGTAAAGCATCCTTCTGGCAAGACAGTGATGGAGTGAATGATGGTGAAAGTTTTCTTTTTTGGGCCACCCTGCCTTGGTGGGAATCGGCCAGTGTGATAATAAAAAAAAAATATTCTTTATATTTCATTATCTTTGTAAATGTGATGTAACTGCATATTTGAAGCCTAAATCATTGGGTTAAAAATTACAATTTCTATTCTAGTATTAATTATTATTTTTCATACCTATCCTAGCATGATGTTGATGTATAATGCAACAGTGAATCAGGTGCCTAGTTACATACTGACCCATTCCTACAGTTATGCGGCTGACCCGACCCTCTTTATTTACGGGCTTGGCAATTGGGAGTGATGCTCGGGATTTACCAGGTGATCATCTCAATGCAGATATTCGTGCTGATATAGCTATTCCTCAGGGGCTTCCAAACACTGGGGTAGGGCACATGCTTCTACTGCCTCAAAGCTTTGGGTAAGTCACGCTTGTAAAAGAGGTGTATTTTGTAAGCCAAGATAACTCTGAATAGTCCATGTGGATTTATCACTTTTTGTGATTATTATTATTATTATTATTATTATTATTATTATTATTATTATTATTATTATTATTATTGTTATTATTATTATTATTATTATTATTATTATTATTATTATTATTATTAAACTATGATGTTTGGAATTTACACCACTGAATTGAATGTGAAAATTTATTCTTATTTGTATTGTAAAGTGGCCTAGTTGTTTATATCTGAAGTATTATGTTAGATGAATGCCTGTTCAATGTTTAACATTGTTAATAAATCATTAAAACTTTCTTGCTGATTTTTCAGGAACATATATTTGGGTGAGACATTTTCATGTTGTCTCTGTGTCCATAATGATGGAGATGATGCCATTCAAGAAGTTTCAATTAAGGTAGTAACTATTCTCTCTGTTTATAATAAAGTGACAGTGTATACAGGTGTCCCTCATTTTATGCTATAGATGCATTCCAAGCCATTGGTAGTTGTATTAAGCTCAATCAGGCCTTAAACATTTAATTCCACATTATATGAATCTTCAGTATACTTTGTAAACCATACTGATTGCATATGATGTATGTATATCACTTACTCAGAATTACAGAAAGAAATGGGAAGATGCCTAATTGAGACTTAACGTAGAGGGCATGGTGGAGCAAACCTCTGGCACTCTAGCATTCTACCCAGGATAAAGGACACTTACATTGGACAAGAAACTTGCCACTTTTGATATTTCATTGTATGAGTTCCAATGGAAAAGGCTATTGCCACCCTTTGTGTTAAGGTCTCAGACAACAGGGATGCCCTGTCCCACAAAGATTTTATTGATCTATGAACTACAACTGTTTCTCCTGTGGTAACCAACTCTACAAGCAGCAGATGGGTATGGTTGTGGGGTCCCCAGTCTGCACAGTCCTCACAAATCTGTACATGGAGTTCCTTGAGACAGGTTTTCTATTGGGTTTCATTCTAAGGATCCTAGGTAGCCTCAGTTTCCTGGTAGGTGAGTGCCTCAAAATCACTGAGGTTTTTCTCAGTTTATAGTTTCCTAATACAGTAAGTACCTTCCCTGCTTCCATGTTACTTAAGAGTGCTTCTAGGTTACTCAAGAAAGCAAATTACACCACTGTCATTACTGTCAAAGACATAACTAGATCTAAGAGGGTTAATGCCAACACCAAGGAATGTGCAGGTATCTACACACTCCCTTGTAGTAGGTGTAATAAAATATAAGAAAATGCCTTGAACTGACTCTCATATATACCACAAGCACTGTCAGTAAGAACCAAAAAAAAGTTTCTAGTTGGTGGAACAATTGGTTTACATTCTTCTCAGCACACACCACCCTACTGACCTAACAGTCAGGTTTGCACCTCATGCCTAGTCACCTGCTCTCCTGCCTATTTATACCAAGGTTTACCATGTACACTACTACTGTCTATAGACCTGAGTAAACTTGGTGTCCAAGTAATAGTAATGACACTTCTATAAGTAACAGATTTTTGCCCTTTTTTATTGACACAGCGGATTTTATCATATACTTCCAAAGTCTATTAAATCAAGGTCCATTAAATCAAGGGTTTAGTAAAGCTGTGATTGGCCAGAAATACATGTAGAAAATAAAATGTTGGAAACCTGTATATGAATGAATGGTTGGATGTGTGTAGGACCTACCTAGCATGAACCAGTGGGCCAGCTGCAGCAGAGGCAGCACCAGACACTTTTTACAGGGATGGGGGGGAGGGGCTAGGTAGACTTATTTTGAAAGTGTTATTATTCTTGCTCTTTTAATTGGGGGCTTTGGGGGTGCTTCGAATTCTTTTGGGCTGAAGCCCCCAAGCTTCCACCTTGGTGCCACCCGTGAACTACAGTGCTCCTCTATTCTCATATTCTTTTGTTCTCATGATTTTCACTTGATTATTAGTGGTAAAATACTGACAGTATGTAAAGTACATGAACACATGGAACTAATGAGACAATTGTTCACCAGGACTTTCTTTAAGTCAATACCCTCTGTATCTGATATTGATTGTTTTGACTTGAAAAAGCTTCTGGGGTGCAAAACATAATTATAATTAAATGTCTTTAGTTGCTCATGTGTCTGTTTGCCTAAAATTCTTTCACTTATTGGTACAGTAATAACAAGAGTTGTTCATCACATTTTTACAAAATAAGCTTGAATAAATGGTGCAGGTAGATACCATAGTAATATTTGAGTATTCTAAACAAGGGTAGCAACCCAGGACTGTGTGGTTTTGAAAATGTGATTCAGTGTTTGCCATTTTATATCCGTCTTACAAGTTGACACTTAGTTTTACAAACAAAAAACCTTGCTTCAAAATGTAACTTAGGATATATACCAGGATTTATGATAAGTAGATGTATTTTTCATAGGTAGTAGGTTGGTAAACAGCAGCCGCCCAGAGAGGTACTACCGTCCTGCCAAGTGAGTGTAAAACGAAAGCCTGTAATTATTTTATATGATGGTAGGAGTGCTGGTGTCCTTTTTGTCTCATAAACGTGCAAGATTTCAGGTACGTCTTGCTACTTCTACTTACACTTAGATCACACTACACATACATGTACAAGCATATATATACACACCCCTCTGGGTTTTCTTCTATTTTCTTTCTAGTTCTTGTTCATTTCCTCTTATCTCCATGGGGAAGTGGAACAGAATTGTTCCTCCGTAAGCCATGCGTGTTGTAAGAGGCGACTAAAATGCCAGGAGCAAGGGGCTAGTAACTCCTTCTCCTGTATAAATTACTAAATTTAAAAAGAGAAACTTTTGTTTTTCTTTTTGGGCCACCCTGCCTCGGTGGGATACGGCCAGTGCGTTGAAAGGAGAAGATGTATTTTTCTTGAGCTATTACTTTTTTTCTTATTGCAGATATACTTATAGTTGGGCTTGAAATTCAGGTGCATTAATGAAGTGGTTATTTCAGTTAGTAGAGAAATTAAGAATTAAATTTTATTCCACAGTATTGGTTTTCATATTGAGTGAACTACACAGTGATGATTTGGTTAATCTGTTAGTAACCTACTTTCAACAATATGAAAAAAGACTAATATATTCAGTCCATTAGAGACCCTCTTCAGGCTGTAAGCTTCATAGGTGCTGTATACCCCACACACACACACACTACAGCAAAAGTTACCTAAACCCATACTTCACAATAGGAATTTCTTTTATTGCTCCCACTTTTCAATTTGTATTAATATTGGTAGAATTACCTACAATATATTAAGTAAAAGGACACAAATGCAACTAATGTGACATTTTATTGTGGCAACGTTTTGCTCTCCAGGAGCTTTGTCAAGCTGTTACAAACAATACATGGACATGTGCCTTCTCAAATCCATCCATATACATATGTACATTTGCCCGTTCTATTTTTATGCTACCCAAGCCATAGCTTTTGTAACCTTTCTCATGTACCAACTGACTTTTCTATTACATGTATAACTACTACTACCTCTGCCTGTACTATATTTACCCTCTGTGTCCATGTATTGTTTGTAATGACTTGACAGTGCTCCTGTAGAGCAAAATGTTGCCACAATAAATTGTCACATTAGTTGCATTTGTGTCCTTTTAATTAACTTTTCAATTTGAATATGGAAAAGCTTAATTGCCTGATTATTTTTTTCACAGGCTGTCTTACAAATGAGCAACCAACGAGTGCCATTACTTGGTGAAGAAGACAGTGAGATGCTACAACTCTTAGAAGGAAATGGAACCATTAATGAGGTCATTCAGCATGAAGTTAAGGACATTGGCACTCACATGTTAGTTTCATTTTTTAATGAGCTTTCCTACTACTTTGAAAGTCATTTGCATATATCTTCTTTCTTTCTTTCAACACACCGGCCGTATCACACCGAGGCAGGGTGGCCCAAAAGAAAAAACCAAAGTTTCTCCTTTCAAATTTAGTAATATATACAGGAGAAGGGGTTACTAGCCCCTTGCTCCCGGCATTTTAGTCGCCTCTTACAACACGCATGGCTTACGGAGGAAGAATTCTGTTCCACTTCCCCATGGAGAATTTGCATATATGTAGTTGGTAAATTTTCACTTAAACTACATTATATAAGGTAGAACAAGTTTCCAGGAATGCCTGATATGCTTTGGTTATTCATTGGAAAGCTATGCTCAAGAAGTATTATTTTCATATTGATGATTCTCCAATATGGTCTTAGTTATTTTTATTTCATAGACTTTTATTTCATACTTTAATGAGCTTAGCAAATTTGGTAAAAAATGTGCCGAGTGGGTTTGAATCCTGGGCGGCAGCCCCTTACCTGTACCTCTAGACCACGAATGCACATAAACATTGAGATGAAGAATATTTATTTAATCCCTTGGTCATGATACACCCACAATTTACTGTCAAGATATCAACCTGTGTTGGCTGGGTCAGATGATGTACATATTTTCTTGCCTCGAAAGCTACACCCTTCGGCACTTATCTCATCAGCTCTGTATAACCCCGGTGGTTTAACACTTAGTTTTAATTTTTTTTTTTTTCGACAAGTCGGCCGTCTCCCACCGAGGCAGGGTGACCCAAAAAAGAAAGAAAATCCCCAAAAAGAAAATACTTTCATCATCATTCAACACTTTCACCACACTCACACATTATCACTGTTTTTGCAGAGGTGCTCAGAATACAACAGTTTAGAAGCATATACGCATAAAGATACACAACATATCCCTCCAAACTGCCAATATATAATAATAATAATAATAATAATAATTACCTTCTTACATCTCTTCTATTAGATATAGTTGAATGCAGGTTCTGACCTGTTATAGACCCACTGCTCTTGCCAGCTCTGTCTGCTTTTTTTTTTTTCTCTCTCAACAAACTGGCTGTATCATCCTAAAAAGAAAAACAAAAGTTTTTCTTTTTAAATTTAGTAATTATTTTGGAATGTATGGTTAATGAAAAACATGAGAAACAGCTTTAGAAGACTCTGAATTGTTTGTTCCCATATCAGTTTGGCTGTATGAAGAGCCATTCCTCCACAGATGCTCTGTCCTATCTTCATGCATACATTTTTAACACCTTAGCTGAACATCAAAAAGGTGGGACTTTTTTAACCTAGAGCAAGCATTTAATACTACATGGTGATATTATATCTTATCTCAAGCTCATTCTGTTGCCTGTGAGGCATACTATAATTTCTTCTAAAGGCCCTTTAAACAGAATCATGCAAATCATTTACTAGTTTGTCTATAATGCAAGTGAAGTAGTGACATGTTTTTGTTGGGGTTTCTGAATAATAATGCAATGTAATTATAACTTAAGAAAAACATCATTGAGAGAAAGGTGCCCCTGTCTTTGTCTCATAATACTGAAGTAGTACTTTCATATGGAGCTAGTCCAACATTTATAATATGAGGAGATGCTTGGCAATATATTGATAGCATGTTTAATATAGTAAAGTTAATTTTTTTTTAATTGTGAGTTTGTTTTAGCTTGGTCTGTGCTGTAAGTTATTTGTCGCCTTCTGGAGAGCGTCTTAACTTTCGCAAGTTCTTCAAGTTCCAGGTCATGAAACCTCTGGATGTGAAAACCAAGTTCTATAATGCAGAGGTAAGAAGTATCCATTCTGAAAACATATTAGTGTATTTTGTTCTATGTAATTAGGGAGTCATTATTATTTTCTTCTATTTGTCAATTGGTTTTTAAAGGCTAAAAAATTTGACATTTCTAAAGCCATAACACAAGTGACCAGTTTTGTACACATTTTCAAAATAATGCAACAGTTCAGGAATTGATTCTGTTACTTTTACTTCATTTGTTTTTAATTTTATGATTAAAAAATCTATAGTAGGATAACTTATGCTGAATGATTTAAAGAAATATTGGTTGCTATTAATTTAAGTGTTATAATTTCAATAAAAAAAAAAAAGCTTCTAACATTTTGTAGACCGTTTCATTATCAATACCTATATTTTATTTGTTTCTGCAAACATATCTGCATGCATTATTGTGAGAACATTTTTCCTGGTTTTGATTTGTGCTAGATTAATATTTCTGTAGTTTGTATTCATGAAAGAGTACTTAAACGTCTTGTTTACCTGGAGTTTATCTGGAGAGAGTTCCGGGGGTCAACGCCCCCGCGGCCCGGTCTGTGACCAGGCCTCCTTAGGTCAGTGTCCCAGGATGCGACCCACACCAGTCGACTAACACCCAGGTACCCATTTTACTGATGGGGAACATAGACAACAGGTGGAAAGAAACACGTCCAATGTTTCTACTCTGGCTGGGAATCGAACCCAGGCCCTCATCGTGTGAAGCGAGAGCGTTAACCACCAGGCCACCAGAGCCCCCCAGGCTGATATCAGGTGATATCAGGGGTGGGAGCAAGGGGTTCTTCTATATACTTCCTATTGGATCAGGGTCTCTGGAACATCAGACTCCATTCAAGCCCCAGCAGAGAATCATGCTCCTCCACCTTTACCTGATCCTGAAACTATATCACTTTGAAGAAGAGGGTCTGGGGATGTTGCAGTTTAGAGGGTCATGTGCCTTAGTGTTCACTAACTTTTTTTACTTAAGGATTTTATGTCTTCAGATGTTAATTCAGTATATTAATTTATTTACCCAGTTCAGTACTGTTTCAGTTTTCAGTATTTCTCCACAATAAGTACTTCACTACTATGAATTAATTACTCCAGTCTTGTTAATACTGTATTACCATAATCATAATTTCATTGAGTAATGGTGAACATACGTATTTCCTTCTTTGGGTCACACTGTCGGGGTAGAAAATGGTCATTGTGGTAGAAAGACTGTTCTGGGGATTTAAGTATAAGGGATAAGATAGTGAGGGCAGTAAAGAGGCTGGGTTTGTGATGTGAAGTGCAGATGAAGTGATCACAGGTCAAGGGTTACTTCAGGCAAGGGATGGTGAGGTGGTGGTTATTGAGGGATGTGCAGGGTGAGGGGTGCTGAGTTAGTTATAGGAATGGAAGGAAAAGGCATGGTGTGGACAAAATAGTATAGCCAATTAAAATGATGGATTGCAGCTAAAGTAATAAATAATAATAATAATAATACAGTATCTTCCATGGGGAAATGGAACAGAATTCTTCCTCCGTAAGCCATGCGTGTCGTAAGAGGTGACTAAAATGCCGGGAGCAAGGGGCTGGTAACCCCTTCTCCTGTATATATTACTAAATGTAAAAGGAGAAACTTTCGTTTTTCTTTTTGGGCCACCCTGCCTTGGTGGGATACGGCCGATGTGTTGAAAGAAAGGAAGATTCACAGTAATAGTAAACACTCCAGAATTTCTGTTTTCAGAAGGAAAATATAACACTGCTAATGCAAAAGGGCAAAGGATATCTCTTGCCACCAATACTCGAGATGTTTATGTCGGGTTTTCCTTATGTCCATCCATAACTGGCTACGTCATTTTCACAAACTTAAAGAATATTTTTCTTCTTTCATTATGCTAAATAAGTTTTTCCATTATATTAGAGACCACAGCCATCTAATGAACTGGCTTTCTTCCAAAAATGTTTATACCTCTTCGAATGTTCACAGATGGTCTCGCTGAATTAACTATTTAAAATCATCATTATCGTGAATCCTAGCCTTAGGATAACTTCTGTAGATGCTTGCTTGCAGTACATCATCATATGCTGTATGCTTCAAAAAAAGAAAAGTGTGACATGACTTGATTTCTGGCTTTTTTCTCTCTCCTTTCTCACTTGCATGTTGATAATGGGCATGCATAATGGTTTGTAGATTTTCTAAACTAATTATTTGTCTTAATACAAGGGACTTGTAGATAACATGACTAATATTGGTATTGGGTAATTTTTAAAAATTCTATTTGATTACCTTTATTTGGGTTTGTAAAAGGCTAGATTTCTTTCTATTCATTGCTGGAACTTAGACTAGCATATGTACTTGTTACTCGCTTTGCTTTTCTAACATTTTGCGCAATAAGAGACTGAGGTTTCCATTGAAATATTCTGATGTTGGTTTCTGGTCCTAAGAAAATATAATGCACTGTGTTCCTGGTTCTAATTAATCATTCTCTTTGCAATTAAATTCTATTAATGGTATGTATTGGTATTGTATAGAATATTATTTTTTATAGCAAAACATGATAATAAAATAGTTTCTAATTCACTATTTATACAGAAACTAGATTTACAATTAAGTGAACTCTTATAGAATTTAAGTACAGTAGAACTACAGTATTTCCTTACAGTGGACACACAGCAAGAGCCAGGTGTACTATTTTTTTCAACATATCTAACCTCAGCATGTTTTTGCATGGTCATATTGCTTGCTTCTGCATGAATACCTGCTGCTCTTCACACCTGCATGCAGGACTATGTTGTAAGTATGACTCTTTTTTTTATTTAGTTTGTATTATACACTTAAATTCCCAATTTGTGGGCTTCCTAATTTGCAATTTTTGATTATTTGATGTTTTGCTGAATTCCCATTTGCAAATATCTTAGATTATTTGCATTTTTTGGCAGTGCACACTATGTCACATTAATTTAAGACCCCTGAATTGAAAACGAATCATAGAATTTTATTCGGATTCTGCATACTGTCTTTCCTTTTTTAGTTTTTTTTTTTCTGTATGAGTGTCAGTAATAATTAGATTAGTCATATTTAAGGAGAAATGGCCTCTGAAACAGAAAATAAGCCCAAAAGTGAAATAAAATTTATTATGCAGACATAATTTTATATTTCAGAGTCTGAATTTGTGGGACCTTCAAGAATGGAACTCCCATGAGTTTTAGGGTTCATTTGTATTTTATAATGTAAATTTATTATTATTATTAACACACTGGCCGATTCCCACCAAGGCAGGGTGGCCCGAAAAAGAAAAACTTTCACCATCATTCACTCCATCACTGTCTTGCCAGAGGGGTGCTTTACACTACAATTTATAAGACTGCAACATTAACACCCTCCTTCAGAGTGCAGACACTGTACTTCCCATCTCCAGGACTCAAGTCCGACCTGCCGGTTTCTCTGAATCCCTTCATAAATGTTACTTTGCTCACACTCCAACAGCACGTCAATTATTAAAAACCATTTGTCTCCATTCAATCCTATCAGATACGCTCATTTTCCATATTTGAGAGCCTCCAAACCAGAGATCTTTTAAGAATTTCACTTGGCTTTCCATCGTTTTTCATTGATCCACTGTTTGTTAGATTTTTATTTTTCTTGAAATAAATCCTCTTCAAGGGGGGCTCCTTGGCTTGGTGAAGAGGCTCTTGGTCTGAGGAATTAGCCCTGTCGGTCTTCTTCCTCAGACCGAACCTAATTACCCCCCATTCTCCCCTCCCCTATCCCATCCTCCCCTTTTTCCATTCCTCCTCCTCCTCCTCCTCACCCCTCCCTTTTGCCCTTCCTCTTTTTGGCCTTTGGGATTTCCCCCAAGGGCGCTAGTTCCTAGGTAGGGGAAAGGACACCGGGGTCCATCCCATTCCATTGAGGTTCTTGGCGGTGGCGTAGTTTGCCGTGGAATCTGGATTGCCGGGGGATGTCCCGATCCCTCCCCGGGTATCCGGGAGTAGCTTGGGTTTTCTTTCGGGCGAGGGTGTATCTCTGGAAGCCCCCTTTCGGATTCGGGGGTGGTGGCCGAAGGAGGTATGCTTTGTGGTGGATACCCGGCCGCCCTCTCTTTTGTCCACCGGGGTTTAGCTCAGCAGATGTGAGGTTGCTATCCCGGATTGTGGTTTACTGGCATGAAGGGTAGGGTATGGCACGAGTTCCATGCTGCATCTGCGCTACTAGCGGTGTTCAGGTCCTCTTGGGCGCGGAGGGAGATTTCCGCCCTTTCATTCCTCCTGGGAACTTTCACCCGCCCCCCCCTTTTTTTATTCTTTTTTTTATTTTTTTTTCTTTTTCTTTTTTTTTTTTTTAAAAAAACAAAAAGCAAAGGAGTAACCTAACCTGGCAGCCCTAGTCCTTTGAACCCACTCCCCCCCGGGCCCCCTTCTTGATACCGCACCCATTCTGACCCTGCCTTGTGTTTAGACCCTATTCGGCACTCCTGATGCCCCTGTACCTCTTGCTGGTGCTGTTTCCTCACCCGCTTAGGTACCGGGGCTTCGACTGACTCCTTCGATTGTCTGAACTCCACTCTCCTTTGACTAGCTTCTGGCTTCTCCTCTACGGTACGGCAATTTTCGAATCGCCCGCCCATTTCACGCTGGACCAACTCCGGTCCTACTTCTAAATCCCAACGTCAATCTCTGATGATGCTCCTTCGTTACCTTCCCATTCTACTCGGAAAAGACGACCCGTCAAGCACTCCCTCTCCACGCTCAGTTTCAGACCACACAAGGGACTAAAATTCTTTACTTTAAAGACCGACTTTTCTGCCTACCTTTCTGACCTTAGTATTGGCAAAGCGCTCCTGCGTCATGTTGGCAGAGATATTTCATTTCATGCTCTCAAGAGCGGTACGCGCATCGTCACTGTCCAAAATGCTACCAAGCTCATGATTCTCTCCTTTCGAATATCGATACTACTCCTTCACTATTAAAAAAACATCTTTCTCTCAATTTTTGTAGTGGTACTGTCATTCTGCCCCATACCATAGTCCAACAGAATTTCCAGTCATGTGGCAATGACATTTTTGAACAACGGGAAAACTCCAGGATCTCCCAATCCTCAAAGTAGACACTTATGTCCTTCCTGCCGGGGGCAGGGGAACGTTACCCTTGAAATGGGGTCGTTTAACTTTTGACACCCGAGAATCCCACCCTCTTTTATATGTCGCGGGACATCGGTTACAAGTTCAAAAGGTGATACCTACACCACAACAATGTAGAAATTGCTGGCGTTTTGGTCACCCAGCGAAATATTTGCAGATCTATGGCCGAATGCCCAGTCTGTGGTGCCAGGGACCATTCTAATACATCTTTAGTCAACCTCCATCTTGCCTTAATTATAATGAAGCTCACCCTTCGTACTCCCCCCGTTGCCAGGTCTACTTAAATGAACGTGAAACCCGGTTGCCTCAAAGAGGAAGAAGGTCTCCTTATGCTATGGCAGTTACTCATCTCCGCTCCAAGGGAGACTACCCGGTTTCTTATTCTCGTGTTTCCAAACATCCCCCCACTTCTGGGGTCCCATCTTCTGCAGCTCCTCTGTTGTTACCCCCCCCATAGCCACTACGGCATCTAAATCCTTTTGCTGTCCTTGGCTCTGATGTCCGACTACAACTCAGTTGTTCTCACATCTTCGCGTCCTTCCTCACAAGCCCCAGTATCGACAAGACCTCGTAAACACCTAAACCAATCGCCCTCTACTCAGAAGCCCAAAATCCACATTGCTCAAATCTTCTTTGCCCCTTCCTTCCTTCTTCCACCTCCACACTTTACCTTTCCAGTCTCTGTACCTAGTTTTCCCCTCTCTCTGGTTCTATTACAAGTGTGGAGATTCACCCTCCTCCTCGTACTATGCCTTCCACCCCGTCCCCCCCCAAGTTTCTCCCTTTTCTACCACCCCCCAGGTTTCTGCCCTTCTGCCCCCCCCCACACTTCATCTCCAGTCCCTTCCCACTCTTCCCTCCCCGTCTTCTTTGGTACAGTCCATTACTGCCCCAAAACTTTACTTACCCTCCTCCTTCTATCTCCAATATGGTCTCCCATACATCTTTGAATTCAGAAACACTTGAAGCCCTTTTCAGAATATATTGCAGGACAAAACCCTTCAATGGACACTGATTCACTTCTGTTCTTTCTCTTCCCTCTCCTCCTTTTTCACAACCCCATTCTTCGCAACGCTCCTTTCCTTCGCTACTTGAACGTCTTCCAATGCCCCCACACTTTGACTTTTCAAACCCCCTCTAGTCCGTAGGTGCCTTTCCCTACAGATTCTGATATTTTTTTCATCGCCAATCATGGCCTATTTACAGTGGAATATCTGCGGCCTCAGGGGGTAATCGGGGTGAGCTTCAGATGTTGCTTTCCAGGTTTTCCCTGTTGGTGCTTGCTTACAAGAACCAAAATTACACTCGGCTTTTTTCCAAAACTATCTCAGGCTATAATTTATTGTATTTTTTGGGTTTTCCTTTCTCAGATGGGACCTTTAATGAAAGTGCCCTTCTTCTACGCAATGATATTCCGTACTGTCAACTATTTGTCCATACCTCGCTGCATTACTCTGCAGCCGTATCCACTTGAATAAGTGGTTTTACAATATGTTCTTTATACCCTCTCTCCTTCTCGAGCATTTTCTATCCCAGACTTTGCCTTTCTTGTTTCATCCTTACCACACCACTTCTGTTACTTGGTGATTTTAATGCCCACCATTCTTGGGGGGGGGGGTCTCATTGTGACTCACGTGGCATTCAGTTGGAGGCTTTTCTCGCCTCTCACCCCCTCCATGTTTTAAATACGGGTATCCCACCCATTTGATCCTCGTACTCATACTCTCTCTTGCATCGATCTATCAGTCTGCTCTTCCTCCACTGCACTAGACTTCACCTGGTCTGTTCTACCAGACTTACATGACAGCGATCATTTTCCGATCATTCTTACTTCTCCCTTTCCCATTCACCACCTTTCCGTAGCCCCCGTTGGCAATTTTTAAACGGGCAAATTGGGATCTTTACTCACACCTCACTGCTTTTAGTGAGGTTCCTTCTTTCTCCTCCATTGATGAGCTCCTAACATCTTCTCGACGTCAGTTTATACCGCAGCTTCTCATTCTATACCCAAACCCAGGAGGCATCTTCAGAAGTGCGTGTCTTGGTGGTCTCCTTTTTGTGCTCGTGCAGTACGTTTGAAATGTGCTGCATGGGGCAGGTACCAGTACAAAAGAACCCTGGGGAGACTTTTTTGATTTTAAGCAGAAGCGTGCGATCGCTCGCCGTGTCATCCGTGAAGCTAAACTCAACTTGTTGGCGAGGACTATGTTTCCACCATCACCTCTGCTTTTCTATGAGTGCAGTCTGGATAAAAAGTGAGGAAATTGAAATGGTAAAATACTCTCCTGACCCAGCTCCTGTTCTACGGGTCGCTGGTGTTGATGTAGCAAACCTCTTCGACGTTGGGCCCTTGGAACTTGGCACACATCTGGTCCGTATTTCCCGAGGGCTCCATCTATGCCCTGGTTTTTTTTCCCCAAAGTCTGCCCGAGAGTTAGTACCTTGGACTTTTCTTCTCTCAGAGAAGAACAGTATAATGTGCCCTTTTTTCACTTCAAGAATGGAGGCAAAACTCTCAGCTTTCCGATCATCGGCAAACTGGGCCTGATGACATTCTATTCGTATTTTTACAACATTTACATCGGTCAGCCCTTGTAGTCCTTTACCCCTTTTTTTCAATCTTATTTGGGCACAAGGAGTTCTTCCCCAGCTGTGGAAATGTGCCATTGTTCTCCCTTTCCGCAAACCGGGTACTACAGGAATGATGGGCCCCCCACTATCGCCCCCTCGCTCTTACTAGTGCAGTTTGCAAAGTGGGGTGGAACGTCTCGTAAATCGACGTTTAATGTGGTATTTAGAGACACACAACAGTCTCTCGCTAGTCAATATTCTTTCGTAAGGGTCGTTCTACCATAGACCCCTTTTCTACGCTTGGATACGTATTTTTCGTAATGCCTTTGCGAATAATCACTCAGTTATTGCCATATTTTTTGACCTTGAGAAGGCATATGACACAACTTGGAGGTATAATATTTTGGCCCAGGCCCCTTCCTTAGGCCTCCGATG